AAATACGAGCATAAAAGTGGTTACAGATATCTAACTAATATCTTCGTTACATATGTATTATTCATGTCTTGTGTTTTTCGAAAGATGTCAGATTTAATTTCATTGAAATATTTAAAATGAAGCTTACAGATTAAGATTTTCATTACAGCAAAACAGTACGTGATAAAAAAAAGCCTAAATTCTCTGGCCAATACGGCTAGCTGTCTTCAGCCAAATAGCAAGGCCAATATGAGCTTAACCCATTATTTGTATTCTTATTATATGGTATTTACTGAGAATCTTTCATAGGATAAAGCGACTTGGCGAGTAAAATATCACTTGCCACAATGCCAAAGCGTAAATAGTGTTTGACAAATCGTAAAATGTACTAAATCTTGTGAACTCATTCTAACTTTGACACCTGCTTACTGTGTGTGTATTTGCGTTTATTTATACTCGGTATCGCATGCCCATATGGGCGAATCCTCCAGAAGTGTATTAGTCATTTTAGATTTTGGAGATAGTGCAATTACAGGTACAGAAAGATGCCCCAATTCCAGAAGCTTCCCCTGGTTCTTTAACGTGCCAAGTTGTTTAAGTACCCATACATGGGACCTCGATTAAAAGTGTTATCCGAAAGACTGATTAGTAATTTTAGTTGGCCAGTCCGGGAATCGAACCCACAAGATCGAGATTACAAGTCTCGCGCTCTAACCGATTGAGCTATGCGGGCTGGCCTGGCTGCTAACAAAAATTCCGGTGCATATTATATGTGTTAATCGTAAAATTCGGTCATATCTAACGCCCGACTGCGGATCGAATACTACATGATCAAGGAGTACTACATGATAATTTTTGTTTTCGAATTTAGCAAAAATACCTGTCAGGATCATCTGTCCTTTAGAAATGCATTAGTTCTTTTATATGAAATAAGTATTTAAGTTTAAAGTGAATATGTTTGAAATTAGTCGTAACCAAAAGGTTAATCAGAGCGAAAACATCTTAGAGAAATAAGGGGAATAACTTTGCAAACTATATCTAGGATTATCTGCCCTTTGATATTGCATCACATGATCATAGTAAACTTAAAGTAAATTCGGTAGTGTCTGAGAAAATAAATGAAATTACTTAAACCAAATTCTGAGAGCGACAATACCATAATACATTTAATCTGTTGTCAATCAGGGTTACAAATGAAAATGGAAAACAAAAGAAAAATACTTATCTATTGAGAATTTAGTATCAATTATCCTTTCTAGCCTAAAGATTACATTATATAGCAGCTCAAAACCTCGATATTTAGGTTCATAAAAGAAAACAAGTAAAACAAAGATGGCAATTAGAATAAAAAAAAAACTATGAGAATGTTAAAAAGTAATATAATACTACTTTTATCATGATTTTAACATGACTTTACATCTTGCGACATTTAACGGTAGTGTTGCGACATTTAACGGTAAGGGAAATTCGTGCGACATTTAACTTTAACATTGCGACATTTAACGGCAAATGATTTTGCGACATTTAGCGGCGGTTGCGACATTTAGCGGCAATGGTGCGACATTTAGCAGCAAGTGCGACATTTAACGGCGCCACACTGTTCGCTATCAGTTTCTCTACTTGCTATAGGGTTTGTAAGCGAACAACATGGATCCTGATCAGACTGCGCGGATGCGCAGGCTGGTCTGAATCCATGCTGGTCGCAAACCCATTATGTTGGTTTTGTCATGACATGGCTCAATAATATTTTTTTTGTTTCAAGATGTCAGTGCATGTATTTCGCTTTTAAAATTTATGTTTCAATTTTATACGTTTACTTCCAAAATAAAGATTCTATATTCAATATAAGCTTATAAGATTTTGTAATTTGTTGCTACTATTATGACACATATTTCTTTTTGCATTTCAACGCTGCTTTTTTTTTACTGGATAAGCATCTTATTAGCTCTAAATCATTTACATACATGTACTAAATCATTATAAAACAAATGTTTGCAAATCGTTTCCTTATTTTTTATTCATTATGTGTCTTTAAATCAGAAAATTAGTAAACATTATTTTTTCTCTTTTATAAACCTCTGCTAAAATATATTCTATATTGCCTTAAGAGTGTGACAATGGTTGGTTGAAGTTTGGTGATAGATGTTACTTCTTCAATTCAAACCCCTTGACATGGGATCAAGCAATGGTAAAGGAAAATACTGTTTATTTTTTGTACGTTTTGTAAGAAAATAAAGTCAAAGAGCCAAAGCATTGACTCATCTTTTTTTAACAATATAGCCTTAAAATATTTCCAAAAGTTTCTTCGATACAATAGTGATGAGTTGCAGCAATGTATCAGTAATGAAATACTACTCTACGTTTGAATAAAGCTAATTAATTAATGCAGGAGTATATTGTAAGCTCTTTGTAAACTACGTGCATAATAAAAGCTTTCTTAGATTAGAAAAAATGAGTTTCCAGGATTTACTATAATAGAAAAACGGCAACTTTAAAGAAAACCCAAAAGTGGCAACACCCCATAGCAATGAAGGGGGGAAATTGTATCTCTTTTTTAAGAAATAAATTAGTAAAAGTAGTACGTAAAAACAGAGAAAATAAAATATACACGCATTTAAATTTGTATTCACTCTCTTCAAGAATGTCTATATCATGTTTACATTTTACAGGCGGCGTGCAATCTTTTGAGATCGAACCTTCTCAAAATCGAAAATTCGGCTGAAAATGATTTTGTGAGAACGAAATGTATTGGTAAATAATTTTTACTTTATATTTAGCACATCTGACCATGTCCTAAAATGTCCGTCGTCGTCCCAGTGTTCGTCAACAATTTTTAGAATGACATTGATCACTTTATGTTGGTTTTTTTCCTTCTTCAACTATGCGCTCATTAAAGGGACTCCACTGAGGTTTTGTGACATGACGGGACTGGAAATAATTTTTTGAGATTATTACTCCATTTGATGTAGATCTATACTAATAACTTATGTGCAAAATATCAGATCATTAGCTCGCTCCGTTTTTTCCAGAATAATTGTTATAATAGTGAAAAATGACCAAAAAAATTGAAAAGCGTTTAATCGCTTTTCACTCAATCGGACTGAGCATAGCACAAACATATGATTTTTAATGTATGTTTTGTATATTTCTTGGTTATATTTTATTTGTAATTCTGTTTTAAGTGCTAATGTTGATCCATGTGAGAAATTAAAATTTTATGGGTTTTTTTACGCTTATAAACCTCAGTGGAGTTCCTTTAAGCATTCAAAAATTAACAAAACTAGCATACATGTAGAACTAGCATACATTGCCCGCATTATAGTGGTGTAAGGTGTGATTTCATTTCAAACAAAGTTTTTGCAGTGACTACAACTAGATTTTGACAAATCACGCAGTTATGCTTATAATAAACAATCGCGCCGTCTTAAATGCTATTGTGCCCTATTCTTTCCATAAATACGAAAACCTAATTGACTGAAACGCTGAACCAGGCATATTCCTTTTGAGGCCGTGCCGATTTTATTGGCAACAGTTATTTCAAGTTCTTGGACATCAGACGCATATGAACTTCCTTTTAAGCTCGACTATTCGATAAGAATAAGTAGAGCTATTGTAGTCACCCGAGCGTCGGTGTCGGCCTAACCACTTATGTTAAAGTTTTTGTGATACCTCAAATATTTTCAAAGTCCATTGACATATGCCTTTTTAACTTTGCACACTTGTTCACCATCATGACCCCAACCTGTAGACATGAGGAGGTAACTGTATCAAGCATTTTGACCGAATTATGCCCCTTTTTCGACTTAGAATTTTCGTTAAATTTTTGTAATACCTCAAATATTTTCAAAGTCGATTGACACATGGATTTGAAACTTTGCACACTTGTTCACCATCATGGCCCAAACCTGTAGACAGGAGGAGGTAACTGTATCAAGCATTTTGACAGAAATATGCGCCTTTTTCGACTTAGAATTTTCGTTCAAGTTTTTGTAATACCTCAAATATTTTCATAGTCCATTGACATATGACTTTGAAACAAGATGAAATTTTATACTCTTCTTTGAGAGCATAATAGGACTCTCTCCAAGGCCTATAACTGTAACATGGATTTAAAGAATTTGTGTGCCCTTTTTACATTATCAATGCTTTTTTTACTATCAAGCACTAAGAAAAGTCGAGCGTTGCTGTCCTACCGACAGCTCTTGTTTACAAGACAACCGATTAGTATGTTTTCTCTTTTGCAATTTATTTATGAAATACATGTAACGTAGTAATTGACAGATACGTACATCTCATTCATTGTACTATAATAGAATATGGAGGGCATTTTTATTGGATTGGTGCCCGGTACTCAACACAGTATGGACAATACACGTGGTACGACGGAACTACACTGGACTACACACGCTGGAATCCAGGAGAACCAGATACTATCGGATGCGTGGATCTTTTACACTTGTATAACTACAACTGGAATGACCATCCTGACTGTAACACTTACGGCGAAAGCATCTGCGAAAGGGGTAAATAACCATTTTCAGTACAGACGACGCAATATTTATTTCACACCATATAAAATCAGCGTTCTACTTCTATAATTCATAATTGGCCGATTTTAACAATTTGGCCTCGTTTTCAGTTTCCGAATCCAAAAAATCCATTTGTTCAAAACCCATACAAGGAGCGTAATTTGTATATGCTTTGGTCATATATGCTACTTTATGTCACAGGATCTTGAAATTCTATCAATATTAACGATAATATTCAAAATATAGTATAAAGATTTATACCATAGGGGGTATTTTTGGATATTATCATTAATATTAGTTGATAAAATTTCAAGTTCCTGTGCTAATATATGCACTTGTGATTGTGTTTTATGAATAATTTATGAAATTCACTTTTGTCTATCGCTTTGAAAACAATTTTCGCAGATCTAATCGTTATATTCAATAAAGATTTATTAAATTTTTCAACAGGGTTATTTGATTAAGATAATGGTACAATTGGGAACAAGCTGAATCAGAATGGGAATTGGATGTGAATCATCGAGTAAACGTATCCATTATCAACAAAAAGGAAACTATAGACAAGTAGATGGGACGTTCTAAGATCAAATGAGCCGCGTCACGACAAAACCAACATAATGGGTTTGCGGCAAGCATAGATCCAGACCAGCCTGCGAATCCGCGCAGACTGATCAGGATCCATGCTGTTCGCTATCAGTTTCTCTACTTGTTATAGGGTCTGTAAGCGAACAGCATGGATCCTGATCAAACTGCGCTGATGCGCAGGCTGGTCTGGATCCATGCTGGTCGTAAACTCACTATGTTGGTTTTCTCTGACACGGCTGAATTATGAATTCCATTATCATCACCAATTTGAATTAAATAAGGATATAATATTAGGTAAGATGGACAATGCTAAAATCGTTTATGTCATATCAATGGAGCAAATAATTCTATTTCAATCGTTAGTGAATTACACTTAAACCTTTAAAATATGTATCTTTGATAGGAAACAATACTTATAGACTTGATGCACGTGGATTTACATGTTTGTGCAACCGGAACACCTTTACAATTATTCACAATTCTTATCATTATCAAAGGGTCGAAAAGTTGCAATTGATGTTTTCTACGGTTGTTTTGTTTTAAATGTGTAGTATGTAATATAAAAGTCTCTTGCAAAAAATAAACCGTTTTTTTCTTCTGCATGAAAAATATGTTGTGAAACTGCAAAATAAATTATATTCAAACATTTTGTTGTTGATTTGAGAAATGTGTTGGGGCTTCTTGTTACAGCACCTTGTGTTACTGACATAAGTCAATTTTACATCTTATTGGTGGAGAAAAAATTTCATATACCTCTACATACAACAATGTATTCTAAAATCGTCACATGGTTTCATAGTACCAGCAAACGAAAGATCGTAACTTGTTCAAGAAATGATAACTTTGTTTTCTTAACAGGAATCAGTATTTAAAAAGTGAATTTATATACACTATCACCATGAAAGTCAAAATCTTGATCAATTCACTGTATATGGATTTCAAAAATTAACGTCACCAAGGACTGATTACAGCATCTTTTAACAGGCTATAAAAACATTTTTTTAATGTTAAACATACTATAAATAAGATGCTGGTCCGTGAAAATCAATAAACATAAAATAAACAATTAGGTACATTTATTTATCAACAATTACATCTAAATATTCAATTCACTTATTTCCAAAACGGTCCTTTCTTCTTCCTACTAATAAAATGAATAATATTAAGCACTCTCAAAACCAATTTTATGTCCAAACGTCATCGGTTTATTAGGATTATGACTTGATCTCTTCCATTTGTTTTAGATATTCCTCGTATGTTATAGAAGGCCCATGCTCCTTAGGATTGTAAAACTTTTTCTGGATGAATTTTTGCCCGGAATATCCACACACTGCCACTTCATCCCTATCCTGAAAGACAAAAAGCAAAATTGGTGATGCTACATGTATATAATAATAAATAATATTGAAGGTACTCAATTTGATTGAAACATTTCCAAAGTTTTAAAGGTCCAATGACAAATGTACAAGTACATATAAGTAATAAAATGTAGTACAATCTCATTTAAACCAAGAGTAAGACAGATTATTTCTAATGCAAACATACTGCCAAAATGCCAAATAAGCAATAATCTTTAAAACAAAGTGGAGAATGACTAAAGTAAATAGGAATTCATTAATGAAATGTGAAATGTTAACTTTCTTAAACACAGTGATTATTTTTAATACTTAGTAATTTATCATGTTCCTGGACATAAATATTTTATAAAATCATCTGCAGTAACACCAATTCATACTCAACCATGTTGCTTTGACAATAGCTAAAACATGGCCTTGCTGTATGGATAAGTATGAAATTCTTCTGTTTAGTATTAACCCATAGCTTATTTGACTACCAACAAATTGAAAAAGTCAACCAATTGCAGTAGTCTATGGAAAGTACTAACACACTAAATATAATAACCAGTATACATGTATAAATAAAGGTTCTAAGAGTCTGGGAATCAGACTTATGTCGCCCGATTCACAGCCCATTGCTCTGCCAATTGAGCTAAAAGCAGGTAATTAAACTAAAGGACAGGAGGAAAGACAAACACAACTTAATCCTACTGCTAAATAGGAAGATGTTCGAAATTTGTATTAAGCATAAAAAGTTTTTTTTCTTAATCATTTTGACACTATACAGATGTAGCACACATGATTAGGTGAATTTGTACATACCAAGTTAATAAAAACTTTTGGGTGTCCGAGAGCACCCCCGCTGTTGCTTGATACCCTTCTTCTTTCACATACCACAATTGGGTCTTCAGCAATCAGGTCTATGGCGAACCTTGGATTCACCTATAAACACATCAAACATGTTGTAAAAATTAAAATAAGTAACAAATGAATGAACACAGATACAGAACCAAGATGGCCATATAAGGCTCACCTGGGATCCATTGCTTAAAAGGTCATCATTCTTTGATGCAAAAATATGTTTTGACCAGACAACCACGATTTTTAAAACTTTTGCAAACTTTAAATGCCACATTTAATGATTAATAAAGAGTTTCTCCTTACACTTATTTAGTCACTATTACAAATCAGGTACGTATAATATACGTACCTGAACAAATGTGACCTTAGAAAAGCACAGTGTTTTTTAGCAAAGGGTATAACTCACATTACTTTTGCAGAAGTCCACTGGGCAATGTTACATGCAAAATAAGTATGAAAACACAGTTTGGAGAAAAAGATTTCAATGCCATTAAAAACTATGTAAACCGTCACCAAAGCCATTTTTGACCCAGGGCATAATTTAAATAACTTTTTTAAAAGGACCACAAGGTGATGCTATAAGCTAAATATCTGCATGTACACTGCAAACTCTGGTCTTTGTAATGTCTAAAGGAGAAGGTTTTTAAAGTTTGTTTTTCACATGTATATGTTAACTATGTGACCCCAACAACAGGGTCATTATTTTGTCCCATTTTTAATGTTAATTTTGTAGAAGACCACATGGTAATGCTACATGACATTAATATTAAAGTTCTTGTTACTGTATTTTTTAAGAAATTTTTTTAAAAATAAAAATAGTTAATATATAAGAAGAGCACAAGGTGAAGCCAAATAGCTAAGCTGCCAAATATCTATGATCTGGGCATTAAATTTTTTGAAGACTTCATTCCAAAGACTATTTATAACTTTTGATTTAGGTAGTTAAATAGCTAGGTTCATTCCTGTGATGTATGGTCAAAACTTTCAATGCAGTTTAGAAGAAAACATTATTTAATAAAATTGTGGATAATGAATTGATGGAAAAAGGACATCATGCCATCACAAAAGCGCATCTCTGAGTATTTGTGCACAGGTGAGATTAAAATGATGGACAAGGCAGGTAATGAATTATATATACTGGTAGGTAATATCTCTTAAGTTATATCTTAGATATGTAAACTTGTAAAAATGTGAAAAAATAACATAAATATAAGATGCATCTATATAGAAGAGAGGATTCCCCGACATGTTTTCAAATACTGGTAAGTGTAAATTGACATTTTAATCCAAATAAATTACTTATTACAGAAAAAAATAACAAGAGTGAAGCCCAGTACAATGTTTCATTAACATTCTTACCAATTTGTCTTTTCCAGCAAATCTTGCTCTTCTGAAGTCATCTTTGTCCCAAACCTGAAGACAGTTTTATTAAAATCATGAAAATTCACAGCAACTTAATTGTAATGGCCTATACAAATTGATCAGTCATTTGGAACCTGGCCCCCTTTCCTGAGAAATAGTATAAACCAATTAAATTTGTTAAGCAACAACTCAGCTCTATACCAACTTGACTAAATAGAGTCGACTTGTCCCACTGTTAGCATTAAAGCACAACAATAATTTGGCCAATAAATTAAATAACAAAAGATTGCATTATATAGTTAACAAGTCTTATGCCTTGAAATAATTTCATGTTTTATTTCTAAATATGCCAGTCATCATAAAAGGATAAAACTTATCACATTAATTTTGTTAATGTAAACATTCAATAAAACAACACATCTAACACTGTGGATACTGTGGATAACACTGTTAACAAAAGTTGAAATAAATATTATTACTTTATTATTACTTTATAATAGAAAAAACATGCATTTATTTTACTGTTGATAAAAAGCTGCTGATTTATCATTGGGAAACACTGAACAACAAAGAAAAAAAACTGAATCAGGCATTTTCAGGATTGTCCAGGTTTGATGGTTGTCCAGTTTTGTGGTCCCTAACCAGTGGCAGTACTGACCGTATTGCTCAAGACTTCCTACATTTTTTTCCATGAATAGACTTAGTCTTACAGTGTGTACATAATTTTCATGTCACTTGTTTGTTAGATTGTTTGGCATTTGTCTAAGCAATTAGATTAAATATGGAAATAACAATCATAAAAATCACCTTTCTGAGTATCTGATACTGCCTTCAATAAATAGCCTACTTACAAAGTCTGTCCAGCAGTCTACTGATAAAGTTTATCAAAATTTATAATACCCCACCCATTAAAATTGTGAAGGACTTAGTAATGAATTCACATTTTGCAGAATATAACAGCACATGCAACTAAAATTACCTGTCCTGTATGTGTAACTTTGTCAACATTCGGACCATCAGTAGAACATTTACAAGATGATGTACTAATTGCGCGGAAAACTTGATGTTTACCAGGCAACCTCGAAAATCCTCTGACAATGGTCGCCATTTTGAATTTGACAAACCCAAAGTGAAATTAACACTGAAAAGACAGAAAAGTAACAACTGATACAAGAGGAGTGTTTTTAGGCATATTTTTCTGTGGTCAGGTTGTTACATGTCCACAATTTTGTATTTTATGTCACATGTTCTTATAAAACATGACAGTATTCAATAAATCTTGAAATTTAATAATATCAATGAGCTATAAAATATGTTATAGATCTTTGAATAAAAAGTATGTGGTTATCGGCAATGTCTTTTAATGTTTTTCATGCAAATATATCATATGCTCAAATAATGTTTTATTGGCCACAGCTTTTATTGATAGTATTTCAATTATGTGAAAAGTGTTATCGCTATTGTGGGTTTATTGTTATTTGTTAAGGTCCTTACCAAGAAGCCTTCACATGTGTGAAATTTTATGATGGTTCATATACAAAAAACACAATTTTTAGTTAACCTTTATGAAAGACCATGTATATGTCACAATCACAAAACTTGTCACCAATTTTTAGCTTTTCATTTTAATCATAAAACTGTAATGTAACAGGTTTTTGGAGAGAACAGCTTAAATTTAGTCTTTGGAAGTCTCCATGACTAGTCTTTATTCATATATTATGACAGGGTCTTTCCTGATGATTTGTGCATCAAAGTTGTTCTAGAAAAACATTTCTTGGAACCCCTAGATTTGTGCTTTGATGTAAAATTGTCTGGCAATGGCCTTGCTGATCTTGTTCTGTACTCAGGTTGCATGGGTATTTTCAGTTGCTGCTAGCTGGCTAAAGGTTAAAATTATTTTAGCTTAAATCATGGACCTTAAGGTCTGTGGTTAAATGTAAATCTGGCAAGGCAGTAAAATCATGCATTTATTTTAATTCTTGAAATCTGCATGAAGTAAACATGCTCTTATAAAATTAAATCTGGTTTCACTGCATGTAATGCATTTTTGGTATACCTACATTTTACATCTCCATAATATACATTCATGTTATATGTTCCTTGAAACAAGGCTTGTTATATCAATCATTAAAGTATACATATATGTACATGTACCTTGTTACATCATTCTAGTAAACCTTCATGTTATATGTACCTTGTTTTACCATTATAGTATACATTCATGTTAAATGCATCTTGTATTACCATTATAGTATACCTTCATGTTATATGTACCTTGTTATATCATTATAGTATACCTTCATGTTATATGTACCTTGTTATATCATTATAGTATACCTTCATGTTATATGTACCTTGTTATATCATTATAGTATACCTTCATGTTATATGTACCTTGTTATATCATTATAGTATACCTTCATGTTATATGTACCTTGTTATATCATTATAGTATACCTTCATGATATATGTACCTTGTTATATCATTGAAGTATACCTTCATGTTATATGTACCTTGTTATATCATTATAGTATACCTTCATGTTATATCATTATAGTATACCTTCATGTTATATGTACCTTGTTTTACCAATAGTATACAATCATGTTAAATGTACCTTGTTACATCATTATAGTATACCTTCATGTTATATGTACCTTGTTATATCATTATAGTATACCTTCATGATATATGTACCTTGTTATATCATTAAAGTATACCTTCATGTTATATGTACCTTGTTATATCATTATAGCATACCTTCATGTTATATGTACCTTGTTATATTATTCTACTTTCATGTTACATGTACCTTGTTATATCATTATACACTACTTCATAAGCTGATACAGGTCAAGCACAAATAAAGCTTTTCAGGAGCAAAGGGAAATGATAAGTTAAATCTCACAAATATAGTAAAATTTTATTCTCTTTTGTTTTAACAATGGAAATAACATGTAAATATTTCATAATAAAATTCAGAACACTGTAAAGAAATAACAAAAAATTTGGTCCATTTCAACATTTGTACTTTGTTAAAATATAAACTTCTTGTTCCACAACCGAAATATCAAATACCAGTACTAGCCATATAATATTTTCATCATGTCTATATTATATATTACAAGCAATAATCTATTATTCTGCTTAACAATAATCTAACAGAGCTAAATACAAAGCTGTGATAAAATTCTACACCAGTAAAAAGCTTAAATAATTATGCTAGCCAGGACTAAAAGTAAAAGGGCAGATGAAATTCAAGCTCAATAAAAAAGAATTTCAGTGAGAAAAAAAAATATCATGAAAGAAAAAAAAATCTATGATCTACATTGTGTATCTTATTGATAGCAAGTTAAGTTCATTTGCACTGTTTTAACATTCATTATTGGCAAAAATAATCACAAAACAATGAAAACTGGACTTAACTCAGTTAAGAATCTTGAACTTAAAACCTAATAATATGTGATGTTAAATCATTTAGTGATTTAATTCAATGTATGAACACAGTTGCCATCATGAAACAAAGGAAATACATTACAGGTTCAGCAAAAGCTGATTTTGACTTACTTATCAGTTTTTTTATATATCTGAATCATTTCTTAATTTGTCTGTATGACATTTATAGCATAAATTCTAGACAATTTCTACTTGTCTGTACTAGCCCTGGGGCAACTTGGACAAAACTAACAATTGATTTTGCTGCCCCTGGTCTATGCCATCTTTTATAGTAAAACTGTATGTGTAGGACCTAAAAATCTGTCAACACTTTTCCAAAATATAATTTATTTAAGTTATTATTTATTTATTGTGTAGGGAGATATTAGGTTATAACACATTCTTGGAACTAACCAGTACTGAGCAACGAGTGTTCAACAGCTTACAAGTTACAACTGATGGGGTTTGAACCCGCACTGCCAGATAAGAAGTCTGACACTTTAAACATTACATGCTCATCAATATGCATTCAAAGCTGATGCACTATTTTAATACCTTATGGATAATACAAAAATATTTATAATACATCATAGTATTTTACTGCAACACAAACATAGTCATGAGATCAAACATGCATTTGTACTTAATTGCTATGCATTATTTTAGCTCAGGTGGAATATACTTAGAAAACAAGAAGCGCCGCAATGCGACGAAAACCAGGTTTTAAACAACCAAGTTTTGATGTGACAGCAATCAATAGGTCAAAGTGCACTGAAGTTATTGAGTAGAAGCTGAAAATTCTATTGTAAGCAAATGACCTTGCTCCCAGATATCTAAGTGGCAATCCAAAGCTGCCACTCAGCAAGTTTTGTGTCAAAAGGTCAAAGCAAACTCAAGTTATAACATGAAAACTGAATACATTAACCTTAATCACAGACACCTGGGTAGCAATCCCAAGCTGCCTCTTGATATAAGCTACCCATACATCAAGTTTGGTGTCAATAGGCCAAAGCAAACCCAAGTTATTGAGCAGAAACTGAATTTCTATTTTTAGTAACAGTGACCTTGACCTTGATCACAGACACCTGGATAGCAATCCCAAGCTGCCTCTTGATATAAGCTATCCATACACCAAGTGTGGTGTCAATAGGCCAAAGCAAACTCAAGTTATTGAGCGGGAAGTGAATTTCTATTTTTAGTTACAGTAACCTTGACCTTGATCACAGACACCTGGGTAGCAATCCCAAGCTGCCTCTTGATATAAGCTATCCATACACCAAGTTTGGTGTCAATAAGTCAAAGCAAACTCAAGTTATTGGGCGGGAACTGAATTTCTATTTTTAATAACAGTGACCTTGACCTCTTGAGTTATGCTCTGGACAAAAATTAATTTTGAAAAATGACAAAGGGCAATAACTCAAAAATTATGCAGGGTAGAGTTATCATTCTTGTGCACTGCACTCCTCCTCAATGAGGTCTATCCACCTATGAAGTTTCAAGTGGATACCTCAAATACTTTTTGAGATATGCTCCGGACAAAAATGCCTTTTCGGCGGGGGATAATAAAAGCTAGAAACTATTAATACATGTGAGAACCAGTATGACAACCATAATGGCTGCTGTCTTTTTAAGTATGCTACAGAGCTGTTTGTACACCTCTAAAATAAATCAAAGTGCTATACATAGTTATTATAAAAATTTGTTGTAAAATTAAGCGCATAATGTTCTTTGTCCAATGTATAATGTACTAAAATAATACTTAATTGTAATAGCTCCAAATACTAATCAATACATAGTTTCAAATCTAAACCTAGGCAAATCCATCATACACAGTCAACAGTTTAAAGGTAATTAAAGGCCCTATTAAAGTATCATGAACAAAGGAGTATATGACAAATAATAAATCTTATACATGTGTATTTTAAATTAAATATCTCCGTTACCTCCCTTACAAACTCAATCTGTATATTTATAATTTGCACAACCAATATAATTTTAAAAAGAAATAGTGAACAAAACAGTGAAAATTAAAATTCTAGTAATACAAAAATGTATTTTCATCACTAATTACTTGTTACACTTTTATTCATACTACTAAACAATTCTAGACATTTGCAATGTGGCAAATAAAACCTGGAAAATCCATAAAATAGCCGACCTGGTACATGTACATTTATTTCTAAGTATCTTATTAATAATGATTATCTTAAAACAAAGAGATACAACATACATGTAGTGGTATTAATTGATCCCAGTAGTGGTCCCAAATTCTTATAAAATTGAAATACATAAAAGTAGTATATAAAATAAAGAAATATAAAAGTATTGTATAGAGAAATAGCTGCATTGTATAGAAAAATAGCCGCATTGTGTAGAGAAATAGCCGCATTGTATATAAAAATAGACACATTGTGAAGAGAAATAGCCGCATTGTATAGAAAAATAGCCCCATTGTATAGAGAAACAGATATACCGCATAGAGAAAAGACACATTGTTTAAAGAAACTGACACATTTTATAGAAAAATAGACACAATGTAGAGAAATAGCCGCATTGTTTAGACTAATAGCCGCTTTGAATACAGTAATAGATATAATATTAAAAGAAACACCCACATTGTATAAAGAAACAAATATACCACCTTATTATGTTGTATATACATGTAGTAACAGCCGCATTGTATAAAGAAATAGACTCACCACTTAGAGAAATAGATATAAAGTATAAAGAAATACCCACTTTATATAGAGAAATAGACATTGACATACCATCTAGTGAAATAGACACACCACTTAGAGAAATAGATATAAAGTATAAAGAAATACCCACTTTATATAGAGAAATAGACATTGACATACCATCTAGTGAAATAGACACACCACTTAGAGAAATAGATATAAAGTATATAAAGAAATACCCACTTTATATAGAGAAATAGACATTGACATACCATCTAGTGAAATAGACGCACCACTTAGAGAAATAGATATAAAGTATAAAGAAATACCCACTTTATATAGAGAAATAGACATTGACATACCATCTAGTGAAATAGACACACCACTTAGAGAAATAGATATAAAGTATATAAAGAAATACCCACTTTATATAGAGAAATAGACATTGACATACCATCTAGTGAAATAGACGCACCACTTCGAGAAATAGATATAAAGTATAAAGAAATACCCACTTTATATAGAGAAATAGACATTGACATACCATCTAGAGAAATAGACATAGTGTAAAGTGAAATGGCCGCATAGCATAGAAAGACAAATTTTATATACAGTAGAAGTGAACACAAAAGAGTATGTGTAATAGTGCACTTAACACCAATATTATTCATAATTAAATTTGTATGTAAATCGTAATAAAAAACGTAAGTTTTGAAAGCGAAAAGTGAAAGAACTTTCTTGTATTAAAAACGAACACTAGGTAAATAAAATGTTGTAAAATGAATACTTTATACAGACTTGTTTAATCAAATATATAGTGAATATAATATCTTTAATTCTTTTCTTGATTTTGTTCAAATGAACATTTAGCATTAAAATCTTTTTTTAAACCTGACACTTTTTACAAACAAAATGAAATAAAATTAATTTAAAAACTAAAAATGTAAACAATTGATTTGAAATGAGTTTTTTTTTTTTTTGAAATGTATTAAATAATTGAACTGCAATATGTGATTATATTCTCTTCAAACGAAAGGTCACAACATTTTATTGAAGAAAACAAGCAGTAAAATAGGCAGTAAAATAAAGAATAGAATAGAAGTTGCAAACGTATCTGTCAGGACATGACCTATAACATGAAATCAAATATCACCTTTTTTTTTCCTCATAAAACTTTATACAACCTTATGTAAGACTACATGTATGACATTACACCAGCCACGGTTTCTTTCCACTTAGTAAATACTCACTGACAATGTTAAAAAAATACATGTAAGGTATTTCCAGCATTACTTGTGGGGCAAAAATCTCTGGCACCCTAAATATGATGTCTTATTTCAGAAACATGAAGAAGGTCCCCATTAACTCTCCCTTAACTAAAAATACCAGTGATCAAAATATATGTACTAACAAGATGTGTTTGCAAAAAATATAGATGTTTTTTCAACTTTATCATTAAAGTACACATTAAAGTGCAATGTATTCAACATGATCAGAAATGTAAAATTTAAAAGGATTGAACACACAATAAAATCTAGAGTCCAAACATTACCTACAGCGTAAATAAGTTGTATACATCAACTTATCCTGTACTTTGTATTCATGATAAAATCCAAATTCAACAATATATTATTAAAAAGAAAATAATTTTAAGGTTTGAAAAGGTCAGAATAAAGCATTGCACAACGTTTGTACTTTTTGTACTAGCAAAAAAAAATATATATATTATTTTGCACCTGAACACCTAAAACAAGAGTTGTGTAATAAAAATTCAAAGAAATATTCATCCTCTTGAAGAAAAGTATGTTAGTAAAACAATATCACATCACAACCTTTAATGTTTAACTATACTTTTCGTCTTCATTTGTTGAACACATAATATTAGAACAACAAAAAGCCATGTTCCTGTACCATTGTAACATTATATAACACCAAAATATACATATAAATTATGCGACTGAAAACATTTTAATGTGACTATGTCGCAGGCCGAGGCACTTTCCCGATCTCTTTGTATATAATATACAAACACAACCATTGTTCAAAAATAAGAAAATGAAAAAGAAAATGTAGAAAAAAAAGTAAAGACAAGAACACAAGTGTAATATTTTCTACCAGCTAGCTAATGCTGTATAAATTTCTATATCTATGTCTGTGGTAAATGCTGTATGCCACTAAACTAACCCCCTCCCCCCACTCCTTCAACAGCTCCCCTCTCATTCCTCAGATGATCCCATCCCCAAATGAACAGTCAAACATGGCCTTGACATTATTAAAAGCAGGTAAAATACATTTTTTATGCAGTAACAGTTTATCCGATTTCCAAAGAAATTAACAAAATTCTGCTAGGATAACATCGAGTTACTCTGGGAGTAACCATGTCCTTTCATTATATATGAAGTAAATTTTTTTTCGATGTGCTGAACATAATGTGTAATACATATGTTACACTTGGCAGCTGTTGTGAAAAATACTAAATTAACATAATAAACATATTATCAGAAGTCACATTCTGCTGCTAATAGGTAAAACTAGAAATACTCTGGTGAAGAAAAATAACTTTTATAGAAGAAAAACAATCTGATATACTGGACTGCTGAAATCACTGTCAACTGTTGAGAGGTAAACAAAGTTGACTTAGCGGGTGTATGTGACAGTGGATGGATAAAAATCTGAAATGTAAAAATTAAAAGTATATTCAAATGTAGCAACTATTATTTCTTGAATAACCTACAAATCACTCTATAATGTATGTCATGCATTGTCTTTCCTGATAAAGAAATAATGTTTTTTTTTGTTTTTTTTTTTTAATATCGTATTTCCTGTACTTAAATACTTGAGATAAAATAATATGACTCTTAATGATAATGATATGACTTAATGATACAACTCCTTGATTTTTAATGTCACAGGGTGAGAAAAATGTGCAGCCTGCCCAGTGGTACTCAAACCCTGGATCCTTGGAATACCGTATGGACTGAGCCACCCGGCCGCTTACACACTAACTCCCCTAAATAGTGAACAGCTCTGACCTGTGACATACTCCTCAGTAATATTGAAATTCATCCTCGAATTTCTAATGGGTACAAAGAACAATGTGAAACTGGACTTGGCGCTCTATACAATCACAGCCCCATGCTGGGCACCAAATGTCACAGGGTGAGAAAAATTTACAGCCTGATCGGGACTCGAACCTGGAACCTCGGAATACCATACCAAGACTCTACTGTCTGAGCGTTCCCACCGTTTACAAACTATTTCATCTAAATAGTGAACAGTCTCCCCTAAATACTGAACAGTTCTGATATGTGACATTATTATTCCTTAAAACGAGAGATAGAGACTGTAGTTAAATGACTTACCTTGTTGGGTCTTTCTGTGTATCAAAGCCATGTATATTTACAACATTTTCTCTGCCTGGTTTTAAAGCATAGCTAAATGTTATCTGAAACAAATGAGAACTTTCTTTTATAATGTGTAAAGCTACAGCTTGTTATTTATGGAACTTAAACTGTTACAATGATATAATATAATTATGGAGACTTATTTAAAGAGTTTTAACAGTTCAGAGTATTAATTAAAGGCACATTAAACTTCAGAAAATACAAGAGAAGGTGAACTTGTGTTTTATAATGTTTAATAATGTTAGTTTTAATGCTTTATTATAGATTTAAATATGTTAAATTCTTATCATGTGAAGAAAGCAGTTTTGAACATTGAATAATTTGTCGAAAGTGCGTTGTTTCGCGTATATATGAGGTAAAGGGTTAATGGAGAAGGATAGTGAAAATTTTCGTTAAAATTCCTAGAGAAATGTAGGATTTTTGCACTGAAGAAATGGTTAAGCATGCCAACATTCTCCAATCAACTCATCATATTTTTCTAGTAGAAAACTAGTGTAATACTCACTTGATCTTTGATCTGAGGAACACCAATTCTTCGGAGTCCTTCAAGGTGTGAATGGAATAATTTTATCACAGTCAAGTCTTTACGTAAAATACTATCTGTGAGAGTATAAGAAAAAAAGAAAAACAACATAAAAATAAATTTCAATATGTAATTTCAGAAAACTGTTATAATTAGCTTGTTTATGAACCTATAAAAGTTTCATCATCATCATCATCATCTCAAGTAATTGCATCACTCCGCAAGGAGTATACTCGCAATTGGAGTTTGTTTGGTTTACTGGTGGCACTTCTGACATCATATGACGGGTAAGTAATCCTTTTTCATGCTGTGCATATATCTTGTAATAATGCACTTGAATGCCCTATCTGTTTAATAGGGGAATATTGTTGAGCGTTTTAGAATGGATGCTAGAGGCTCATATAACATTGTTTTATACAACATAAAGGTTAATACTAATATTAATTTGTAATCGTAAAATGAACCTTGTAAACAGATGTCACAATACATTTAATATTTATAATTTTCTTTTTCTTCCTAGACAAAGGAAACAGCTGTCACAAAGAAAATATCAAACAATAACCACAAAATGCAAAAAGTTAAGAGAATGATGTGAAAAAATGATTAATCATGACAAATTCTCAAAAAATCTGAATTTCATCCCAGTAAACCTCTTATGTTATAATGTAGATTCTTGTTAAACTTTGAAACCTTACCTACCTATCCCCCCCCCCCCACCCTTTCTCTTTAACAGACTTCTAGAGCTATCAATCTGGACAAGAAAATTTATCGAAGGAATACTTCAACAGTGCATACAACGATCAGATGACTGAGCTTGGTCTGCACTAACTACTTTGGTAGATTCAGTAGATTCTAGCTGGCTAGGGGTTAAAAAAGAGGGCCATTATGGCCCTAGATCTTTCATCTGTGAACCAATTTAGCTTCACATTTGTTTACTCATGTAAGTCTATGTAAAACTAACTCCAGGGTGGGGTTAATTTTGTTCACAGGGGCATAATTAAATTTATATAAATTTTGTAGAGGAGCACACAGAAATGCAACATATTATGCCATGATGCCACATTATAATATCAGAGAAGATGTCTAAAGATTTCATTTCAGTCTATTTTAAGCTTTGACTTATTTGTACATCAGACTAGAATTATTTATATTTTTTTAAGTGTTTATAGAGCCACATAAGGACTATTCTTTTGAAGTTTGTGGTTTAGGAGGAAATGTTATGTAACAACATTGTGGACAACGTGGCATCATGCCGTCACAAATGCCCACATCTGAGCACTCTTAGTTAAGTTGAGCTAAATTATAAAGGATCATTACTTATAATAAATCCTATTGTACAATCATCTGGAAGTCGAATCCGATCCCCAGCCCTCTTCATCCGCCCACCACTGAAATATTCAAGTATAACAATGAAATATTCAAGTACAACATTGGAATATTCAACTACAAGTAAAAATACATTTGTTTCATCCAAATTCTTATTTAAACATAATACATGTACAATTTCAATTTGATGAAGTGCATAACATATCATATAATTGTATACAGATTTAAGAGTCTGTGACATGGTACAAAAATTGTGAAGTACATGCCAAAGTGGCAGAAATGATAATCAAATAACTAATTTTTCTTTGCATAACAATGACTTTAAATTTTTGCTAAAACAAGAAGAAGTATATTGTCATTTAAGTTTACATATTGCATGTAAAGAAACAAAAATCCAGTTTTTGCTCCTTTTTTGTAATCACTACATGTATATGTTTATTCAAATTGATATTGTCAGCAATTACATAGGGACAGTAAATAATAGATATTAAAATCTAATCTTACCCTGCATATGGAACCATCTTTAGTGCTAATGCACGACTTATACAGAAGCCTGCACCTCCTGTAGCGAACCAAAATGCCACATTTTGCTGAAAACACCAAGAACATGTATGATAAAATAACATCAAATTAGTTTAAAGAAAAAATTACCCCAAAGACAATTCATCAAATGATTCTATAAACTACAGTACATAACAATCAAAATATTTCTGGAACAACATGATTGGCTTTCTAAAGCTTGAATATATAATTACTCTTAAAATTCTGACAATTGAAAAATATCAATGAGATATATGTCATATCACACTGTTTGAAACCTAGTGAGATATAGAATTTTTGTTGCCATTCTATACATAGTGAGTGAGATATAGCAAAGTAAAAGGCATAATGGATCACAATGTTAATGTGTCATGGATAGTTATCTCAACTTATCTGACCCAAATTTTGGTAACCTCTGATTAGCTTTATGATAAAACTATAGAAAAATTGGTTGATTTTCATGAATATAGATTCCACTCACTTTAAATTGATATTTTTTCATTATAATATAAAATTTGGTTTATTTTAGTGAAAATAATTACAGATTCTACTTGATATTTTTTCATTATATTTTCCCTCACTCTTTGCTCTCTTGAAATATTAAAAAATCACTCTTAAAAATCCTTACAAATGAGATACATTTAATGTTTAAATGAATACAAACAAATATTATCTATTCATTTTTTTAATTTATCAATATTTTGATACAAGTTGAATAGTTCCATTTTATATCTAATATTGAAAGAAGTTTGTTTGTCTGGTTTCTGAGATGGCTTAAATATTGCACCAACACAGTATATGTCATATGGCGACTTTCAAGTTTTACTGGTGGAGAAAGACCTTGGGTGTCCCTCCGTACATTATTTCAGGCACAAAATGGCACCAGAGTAGAGCCACCATGCTGCAAGCAACAGATTACTATTCCCCTGTGACTGATCATCATTCAAGGGAGAAATTTTGTCTCACCTAAGGATCAAACCCACAAATGAGCTATTGAGCTCAGAGTGTTAAGTACATGTCATAAAATTTCATTTGCTCAGTTGCGCACAAGTCTAAAGTGACTCTGCATATAACATCAAGTTTATCAGGTACGGTGTTTAAAGAGAATATATGGTTGATGTTGGAATGAAGAAGGTTTATCCAGTGAGCGAGAAAGTTGGCGAGCTTTAGGGGCCAAGATTCACTTAAGCAGCGAACCAGATAAACCTTCTCCATCCTGACAACAACTATGTTTTCAATTTTATCCTGCTTTTGTCTAATTAAATCATGTTTTAGATTATCTAAATGGTTTCATTCTTAATTTCTCCCGATAAAACAGTGTCTACATGTATTTTTTCTTTGCCGTTATTACTATGAGACTTCATTATAGGCTAACCATGTGACATAATGGCTGGAGATAGATAAGTATGAAAGATACAACTATTAACACAATACATGTATAATACACACACTGACACTGAGCAGAACACAACAATAAGCCTACAAGGAAAAATGAAAAACAAATCATTGCACAATTTTCACATTTAAATTTACCTGGTTTACAATTTACCAACCTTGACAGAAAATAAAACAAGAGCAAGCAAAAGTAAGAGCCTTGAACAATAACTGAATATAAACAACAACAACAACAAAGACAAAAGTTTACAAAAATGTTTATCTAAACACTAACCGTGATCTAAACTGACATTTTTTACAAAATACCTGTTCATCATCCCATCCAAATGTTTAACTTTGTGAAAGAAATATACATAATATAAATACTTTTTTTACATTGAACTATTAAAATCAATATATAAAAATTTGAATGTTAAATGTTAGTGAAACAGTGTAAATACATCAAAGAAAAATGTTTCATTTTTACCTTGAACTGTTCTTATTTTCGGTATGTGATAAATAGAGTTTTTTTTATTCATTTAGCTTTATTACTAAATATATTGAATGCAAAACATATTTATTTAACGTGTTCAATAAATTCAGTATTAAAACTGAAACTCATCCCAAACCAAAATGCATGCCTGCGACAAGCTTGCCGCAAGCTTGTCACAAGCTTGCCGCAAGCTTACAGCATAAATACAAGGTACCTGCATGCTTGCAACAAGCTTGCGCAAGCTTGCGATGACTTTTGAAATATATTGCAAGCTTGTTTAAAATTCATGCAAGCTTGCAAACATTTGATGTAAGCTTGCAATGCCGCAAGCTTGCAATTAGTAGACACTTAGAAAATTTTTGTACAAATCTACACTTAGAAATTTCTTGTGAAAGTAATTGAAACACTTAGAAAATTTTTTGTCAAAAGTGTACACATTAAAATAAAAATTCCAAAAATGATAGTATCAGTGATAATTAACTAGTTTAACTAAATCACCACGCTAAAGTTTATTATTAGTTATTAGTTATTTTATATATTCAGCTCAGTATTGTAAATTTACGAAGAAAATATAAAATCATCATCTATTTTAATGCAAGTTATTGTAAATGATTTGAAATTTGACACTTTATACATTTCATGTAGTTGGAAAAGGGTATCTCAGAAAAAATGTCTGTGCAAAAGAAGTAAATGAATTGATTGTTAAATACATATTATTATTTCAATAAATCTACATGAAGTTATGTACAATGAAATAATATCCATTTAATTACAGGCTTTAAGTTTAACTATAAATTAATTAAAGTCTGTGATTCAATCATTCAGACACTATAATAATCAAGATGGGATTGCATTGCTTGCCATTTTTAAATTCTAAGAATTCATGTTTTTGGATAACAATAAATAAATAAATAAACAAAACAAAAACAGTGCATGAAATAATCTCATATATATTCTATATTAAATTAATCAATATATTGCTTTTATTTAGGAAAATAAATACTCCACCACTGAGATTTTACGCTACACACATCAGAGCCTTGATAAAATTCATTGACCATCTGTGCATGACTAATTTACTCCCTGGTCATTCAGACAGATCAGGCTGTTCCATGTGATTATTTTGGGGAGAGATAACATTATAAATTTTATATGCAGAATGTGTCTAGAAGGACATTGCAATCTTTTGGTACAAAAATTTGTAATGATTTTTAAAATATTTATATCTATTAGCTATTTGATATTTTCTTTTACGCTCAAAGAATGAAAGTTAAAATGATGAGTAGATTAACCCTGCTTTACATAATGATAGACCTGTCCAGTTTTACAGTAACTGTTGTAAAATTTGAATTCTAAGATATCTGGGTCAGCAAAGAGAGCAGAGGATGTACTTGATATTTTAGCAGTTTTGGAGATATTGTTTTGTTTAACATTTAAAGTGTTTAAGTATTGGTATGATAACAGAATCACCTGGGACAAGGATATATACAACAGAATCAGGTAATTATAAACCTTAAGTTACATTAATGCAGAAACAGGTTATATATCAAATTATTAACATTTGTAACAAGAGATCAAGGTTGTTTTTATATTTTCAACTTCATGCATTTGTTTTTCTGATAATTCTTTTTAATCTATACATGTATAATCTGTAACATATAAATTATTCAATGATTTCTTTTTAATGATTGTTTATATTGTTTAAATGGCATGTTAGTAGATCTTTTTCATTTCCTGCAAATTAAACAAATTAAATCAATTTGATTAAATAGGACTTATTGGTACAATCAGTAGTTAAGTTGTACAGCTGAACAGGGTCAATCATAATCATTTGTTATTTTACATGTATGTGTTGTGTTTTCAATGGAACAATCTAAAATTACATTATACATAAATAATTTGCAGGCTGGTGCTGACTGTGAGAAATAGCGCAGAGTTTAATAATGATGTGCAGTATTAATCCTGAAAAGGTATATTATTAAATCTCAATACTTTTCTATTCCACATCTTTTCTTGAAAAAATACATACTGGGTAATAAATATTGTCACAAATTTACTTAATTCTCATACAGAGAAATTCTTAAACATTTGTGCACATTGAAATAAGATATACTGCATTGCTTTAGTATTTTTGAAAATGCATAAGCATAGTTAATATTTAATAGTTAATACTGTTGAAACATTAGATTCGATGTTATTAAAAGATATGTAATATAACTGCATTTATGCAATAAAACATAGTTCATTACCGCATCTGTATTTAATTAATTATGAATTTTATCTTTAAAGGTCAGCACAACCATAAGAAGTTCTAGGAAACACTGGCAGAGGACTAAAAATGGACACCGATAAAAGAAATAGTAATTTAAATAATCAGAAACATTTAAAACAAATTTAAGATTGAATAGTTTGTCACTGACAGACTAAGAGCAAAATAATTGCTTAAAACAAAGTGTTGGATTCTAAGAAAACAAGAACCTACCAAAACCTGCAGCTAGAAAAAAATTGTTTGTGTTATAGTGAATGCAGGGTGTTCTATTCTGTATTTGGACTAAAGGATATGTATTAAATTTTGTGAAAGAAATATGTGATCATGTTAAACTCATAAAAATTCTACCCCAAACATTCCTGTGCTGAATTCCATCCCAGAATTTTACATTTTAAGAACATTTAGGGATGCTGGAATTAGGCTGGATTTTTTCAATGTCATTCCATCAAGGCTGGACTATTCACCATGGTAATTGGAAGAAAACATTAGTATATGAAAAATTTAACATCAGCTTCTTTTTACAATTTATGATTAAATAAGTTTATCATGGTAATCAATGCCTTTTTTTTGCATGTTATATAGGATTCAGAGACAGTTACACGTAGCAGCTCCCTTTCCAAATAGGGTTTACAGTTTTTGCAAGCCTGCGATTAAGCTTGCGCAAGCTTATACATTAAGCTTGTAGTTATACATGCACAAGCTTGCGACTAAGCCTGTGCAGGCTTGCAGATAAACCTGCGCAAGCTTGCAAATAAGCTTGCGCAAGCTTACGATTAAGCTTGCACAAGCTTGCGCAAGCTTGCGATTAAGCTTGCGCAAGCTTGCGATTAACCTTGCGCAAGCTTGCGATTAACCTTGCGCAAGCTTAAATATTAACTAGTTTGCAGTCAGATTTTTTTAAATAACTGATCGCAAGCTTGCCGCAAGCTTGCCGCAAGGTTCCAATTACTAGCCAGTAGCAAGCTTGCAACTTAAGCTTGCAGCAAGCTTGTGACAAGCTTGCAATGTTAGCTTGCGATTTTGGTTTGGGATTCAATACCCCCAACATACATGTAGTAAAACATCGGAGCAATATCAAGAAAAAGGTCATGATTAAATCATATTGAAAATAATCAATGTCTTGTGGTAAATTATTACATTACACCAAATTTCATTAAAATATTTTTTTACCAATAAGAAGATAGTGTCAAGATCATGACTAGAAGAAAACTTAAAAAATAAATTGTCACCTTAATGCAGTAACGAGTTAACTCCTATTAATTTATATCAGCAGTTAACCCATTACTGCACTAAGGTAACAAAATGTAGTAATCCTAATGGTAGACTAGTTGTCAAGTCATTTTTGCCACTATCCTTTTTTTAAGAAATAAAGTAAAAAGATTTACCCCTGGATGACTCCTGTCCATCACCTCTATTGGATGGCTTAGACTGGGTTTACCAAGGTACCAGTCATCAGTATGATTATACTGCTGTAACAGACTAACCAGTCTGGGTATATTGATATATGTATCATCATCTACATGACAAAACCACCGCTTCCGCGAGTTTATGAACCAGTCAAACTCTTGAGACATTTTGCACACCAGCGACTTCCTACAGTATAATCATCAAAATTTTAATGAAAATATTTTTAAGGAAACTTTTATGCTCTTTATCGCAATATTTGAAAGTGAATATTTCAATTAAGTTTGAAGAATTTATAGTGCATACACTTTGTCTGAATTTTGACCTTCAAGAATGGCCTTGAGAGCTGGCACAGCCTCAGCATTGACTTTGCATATAGCCGTATTCACACAATATTATGGCAAGTTCACTGAAGACTTGTTAATAAAGAGTTACAGAATTTAAAGAGCAGACATGAAAATTGAATGAAGTTTGGTATAAACAGGTGTATAATCTTCATATAGCAAACACAAAATTGTATGACATTATTTTGACCTTCAAAAATGGCCTTGACCTTAAAGGCTTGCATAGGTTCTGCACATCACCTGTTAAAGTGTACATTTGAGTCAAGCTTGAAGAAAAACCTTTTTATCCTTTATATAATTCATAGAGGCAGAGCAGACTTGATGGAGATTGATGGATCAAAGGCAGGATAAAGTGGTTTATATATAAATATGATAACGCAAAACCTAAAATAAATTCTGGAGGTTCTCAGTGGTGTGTACCAACACTTTAAAATGTACAATTATATTATGATGAAACAAGCAGATATTACAAATACAGACCAACAAATAAAACACTTGAGGCAAGCTGATGACTGTATTTTACACTTCAAAGGGAAATTTGCATTTATGTCTTTGAATATATTTTTTTTGTTTTAAATTTTACCTTTGGCACAAGACATTTAACAATATATTATTTAAATTTGCTTATTTGCAAAATGTAACATGCATTATTCATTACATAAAAAAATCCCCCTTTTACTTCTTTTTTTTTATATATATATTCTTTTATATTTTACTCCACACCAACAAAGTATAGGTTTGTTTGTTTATTTTGGGTTTTACGTCACATCGACACAGTATAAGTCATATCGCAACGTTCCAGCTTTACTGGTGAAGGAAGACTTCAGGTGCCCTTCCGTGCATTATTTCAGGCACGAAAGGGCACCTGAGTAGAACCACCGATGTTCCGTAAGCTAGCTGGATAGCTTCCTCACATGAAAGAATCCAAAGTCCCCGTTGGGATTCGCACCCACAGCGGTGAGGAGCAAGTGGTTTGAAGTCAACGACCTTAACTTCTCGGCCACGGATGCCCCAACAAAGTATAGGTGGTAGTGCGACTAAATAACAACTTTATTGGAAGACCTCAGGTGCCTTTCCATTTATTATTTCGATCATGAACGGGTACCTGAGTAAAACCCCTGATGTTCCCTAAGTTAGCTGGATAGCTTCCTCACATGAAAGAATCCAAAGTCACTCTAAGGACTTTAACCCACAGTGGTGAGGGGCAAGTGGTTTGAAGTCAACAACCTTAATCACTAGGGCACTGACACCCTTCCCCACTTCCCTTCAAAACTACCAATTAGTCCATTACCTGAGGGCCCCTTGCCCAAATCCCCTTAAAGGTAATTAGAGCTTTGAACACATTACAAAATAACCTACCTATTATGGTCCCCTGAGCAGTTGGTATTGATCACATGGTTGGCTGAAAGAAAATTAAAATTATACATGAATGATAACAATTAGAGAGCATACGGAGTCAGTTTGTTTGAAATTCATCTACATGTAAGTTTTCAAGTTAGAACAACTTAGCTCATAATTATGTACCGTTATTTCAAACTATTGAATAATATAATGTTGGAGGAATTTTTTTTTTCAGTATTTCAACAATAAGTGTAATGAATATTTGTACATGTACATAAATGTGACATTATGTGCATTCAAGTTAAAATGATGGGTGTACAGGTTAAAGTGAAAATAACTTATAATTATTGTCTATTTTAAAGTCTAGGTCAGGTGTAATCACAATGACCAACATGACTTACAGAAAATGCTAAATATCTTTCAGAATGTATCTTTAATATATCTTAAATATTCGATTTATAAAAAGAGTGGAGCAGTGTTGTTATTTTTAAGGCAGTTGTTATATCTTATACATTTTTCATTATCAATAGTCAATCTTTTTATATAAACATGCATAATTAATTTAGCCCTCAACTCTACAATAAAAAATAAGCATGATGTCATATTAAAGTAAAATATTTTTCAAAATGACAGCTCACATCTCTAATTATAGAAAGGAAAAAAAAAAGCCTTAGTTTAAAATCTGTCATCTGTTACTGAACAATCAACTTTAATGAGTTTAGAGACACTCATCCTCCTGCACACAATATCAAATAATTGTAAAAATCATGCTCAAAATGATAACACTTTGTTCTCTTGGCGAAATTCACAAATTGAAACAAAACACAATCTACATCAGGCCTTACTTGTATATCAAAGATGATAAAAGCTCTTTGTTTTTTGATATATCATGATAAAATCAAATATATCTACATCTGTTTCCACACTTTCAACATAGCTAGACAATTAGTAATACAAAAGGTGCACAGTGAAAACTGCATAATGATAAAAAAAACAACAACATTCAAATGTAATGAAGTTGATTGCTAAAAAAATATAAAACAGACAATTTTACCTAAAGGGCTTGAACATTTAAAATAATGAATATATTAAACAAGTTTGCTGCAAGCAACTTTACAAAAAATTGTATTGTCAGCATTTTACCATAAACTGACGCAAATTTAAAACATGCATACTTTGAACATGTATTTTGCATTTTGTCTAACAAATTATTGATATTCCCACCCTGAGTTTAATGCTTACACATTGTCTTAATTATATTTTTGGAGAAAAAAAACAACAACTACAATTCTTTTTTTTTCACACACAAAATTCTCCTAATTTTATAGTACCATTTTAAACTTTTGCTGCAAATAAGTTGGATATTCCTGTCTCACACACAACTATTTACCAACAAGATAAATTTATATACTGATATTCTAATATAAACTGTTGACTTTATTTATTGATTTTTAAAGTTATTTTGCCATAATTCTGGAATATTTCACCTAAACTTTGTTTAATTTCTCACATAACATACAGAATAAGTTTTTATATATTTCATAGTATACATTTAGTAAAAAATATTGTACATCTGTTAAAGTGTTAAAAGTTATTTCTGTAATTCTTAGAAATTAACTTGGCAAATGAGTTGTAATTTTATATAAATTTAACATCTGGCGGCAAAAAGATTAATAAATACATAAAGTTAAAGGAAATGCAAAAAAATATATATAACAAACATACAATGTTACATAGCTTCTTTTGTTAAGTTACAACAGAAACCAGTCTTTGGCTTTACTTTCATTACCAAATTTACTATTCTTAACTTAACAGCTACCGTTTAACATTAAAAAAACTTTTGTCAAGGTCCAACATTACCTTCTATTTTTTCTTTCAATTCTGCATCATCTGCATCAGTGAAAATAAATGTCTGAAAAAGGAAGACAAGGGGAAAAAACATTAGAAGTTCATAAAAAATATTGTCACATTTATATTTAACTGAAAACTTTAAATAAATCATACAGATTTGGACAGGTCAGTGAAGAAAATCAAACATAAGCTTTATGTCTGATTTCAGGGTTTTTTCCCCAGGATTTTGGGAATATAACCCATACCCATGGAATTCGGAAATTAGGCAATGGTTTGTTAAAATTTGGGAAAAAATGCATGACTTAAATTTTGCAGTGACTTAAAATAAATGCAAAGAATCACTGTCCAGGATGGATCTTCAAACATTTAAGCACCATATTAGTGAAGAAGTGCTTATTTTCAAAGATTTTAGAATTTGTTAATCAATTTTTTGTTGTTGTAACTTTCAATTGGGAATTTTTTCCTGTTTTCAATTGGAAATATGACTGAATATCAGCTATAAAATAAGCAAAAAATAAAATCCCTGGATTTTATAAGAACATGACTTGTATTATTATGGCAATGAGGTCAGATCAAAATATTTGACAATCACTAATTTTAAAATATATGAATATAAAGAATGGAAAATGTAGAAGACTGGCATGTAGCAGTTTGTATGATTTACTGCTGGATGAAATGGTTTGTTTTGGTGGATTTTAAGTCAAACTGACACTTTCCAGCTTTTTTATACAGAGAAAGACCTCTATTATTGCTTCTTCATGCATCATTTCAGGCACAAAAAGGTACCCAAGTAGAACCATTGAACTTCCATAAGTTAGGTAAGCTACATGTACTGTGATGTAGAGGAATAGCTTCCTCACATTAAAGAATCTCAAGTCCCCTGATGGGCTCCAAACCCATAACCTTGAGGCCAGAGGGGCAAGTGATTTGAAATTGGTGACATTATTATCTCGGCCATGGAGGACCTTGGATGTAATAGTAATATTAAACTACATGTACGGAACAATTTATCCAAATTTACAATAGGGTAGCTTTGTAAAAGGATTGAAGGAGGGTAGGTATACTGATTTCTCATTTGTGCATTAAAGTGCTGTTTAACCTGCTAGAGTTAAAAGTGATGATTAGCAATTGCCACCAGTATATAGCAAGGGCAGCCTGCTGACCAGGCTCTTGATTGTACAACTACTATGTTAGCTATTTTTTTAAAATTTTGAAACTGAAATAAATGAGATGTTATAATTTAAAGCGTGCAGAGGCAGAAGGATATAATCCAGGGTGTTGTTTTTTCAGTTTTGATTGATGATGACAAGATGTTTAATATAATTTTTACTGGCTGGATGATTTTAATTTTCATTTTGAAATTAGAAGAAACTTAACACAAAAGCTGTCAGTTGGGCAGTGTATAATACTTTGTAGTAAATCAAAGGCATGGATAATGTAGGAATTTAGAGGAAGATTACATTTGAATAAATTTCATTTCTATTATATTCACGATGTGCTATACTTTAGTTCAGAACTTTCAAGTGAACATCTTAATTAAGCTGCTGTTAAAACAGATCTTACAAAACTGTAACCCGCAATCTTTAAACTCTTATAAGGAACTTTTTAAGTTAACAAAGAGCTATAATTCTGTCAAAATTTATACAAGACTAGAGTTATAGGCCTTGGACAGTGAGTGACCTAAAATAGTGATCTTAAAGACATGTTTCACAAGTTTCAAGCAGATACTTCTTCAGCCCTATGATGACATGTAAAGTATGTTGTACATAATGATGCATGCAAAACATTTAAGCAAGTACATCATACAGTACAGCTCGCACGGAATGTACAATTTTTGTGCTTCCTCCGCAATCGACGTTATAGCGAACTCCTTAATCCACCGCGTTTTTCTGAGGGTAATCGCGGAGAAACACCCGTGACCACAATCGCGGAGTTTTAGAGAGTGTAAAGGTATTATCGCGGAGATTCTCCAAGAAAATCACGATTTATAACTTGATCATATATTTTAAAATTATCCTTTTTCATTAAAGTAATTTTCCATTTTCGTATAGGATATCGACCGAGTACGAGGTCTTTCTGTTTAGGAAAGACCTGGTCACGAATTTCATGTGACACCAAGAGGGCGTAGCGCTCGAGGTGTTTCATGAAATTCGTGACTAGGTCTTTCCTAAACAGAAAGATCGATGTACGAGGCCGATATCCAACTTACACAACGTAAAACTTTATTTGCTTGAGCAAAAATATTATTTTTAACACAATGCATATACAGGTAAGCTTTTATCAACGATCTGCTTAAATACAATATATATTTAGCATTTAATTTTGCTTTTCCCTTTAAAATGATAATCTTTAAAGCTAAATGTGCAATTTGTCAATAATAAAGTGAATAGATCTGTAATAGAAGGTGTGTTAAAGAATGAATAATGAATAATTATGCTGACAGTATTTCGTATCAGACAATGCAGATTCTAGGACATTTGCCCCCGGACAGTTGCCCCCCCCCCCTCCCTTTGCTGTTGTAACTTGTCACTTATCATCTCGTGTATAGATTTTTTGTTTGCCAATGGAAATATTATAGAACATTTATTTATGGATGCTATTTACACTTTCAAAAATTTGCGTGAGAGTTTTTGTGTATTTAAGCACAATGAAATTTCGACAATAGGCGAGGAATTTTGGTAGCAAACATACAATAAAATATTTTAACATTTTTAAAACAGGGAGGGGGGCAAATGTCCACCCCTTCCAATAATATGAAGGGGGCAAATGTCCGCCAATGCAAAAAGGGGGCAAATTTCCAAGGGGCAACTGTCCGAAGAGCAATGCCCGAATACCCAGCAGACCACAAAAGACTTACCTATGTATATTGGTAGCAAGTGTGAGATACACTGTATATGAACCAAAACTTTTATATAACAGATTGTATAAAGTGTTCTAGAATAAAATATGATCGTTCATCATAATTTTTTAGACTAAATAAGTTATAACTTTATTAACATTTTAAAATCGTAATAAGTATGTTGTGATTGCTGCTATATAGTTTCATTGATATGAACTTGAGCGTCGATTTTGTTACATTGTGAACTTAATGACAGAAGAACCACTTAGATTACTATTACTTTGAAAAATGACGCGATTAAATAAATGTTAAATGTGTCCTAACTTTGATATGCTATCCATTTTTTTTTTTCAAAGATTTAATATAGGGATGCTGGAATAATTGCTTAGTGCATTCAATAAACATTAATTTGTTTAAAATGTATGCCGATTTTGTAAAAATAGAGTGAAATAAGAATCCCTAAAGAAAGCCCAACGCGGCAAAATTGAACATGTTGCAGGCTCTGTTTGACAACAAATAATAAATTATGATAAAGTCTGCACCCATCAAATTTAAACAATATACATTATGCATACGATATAACATATGCTCATCTCTATTATTATGTCACAGGTATAAATATAAACATGTGTGCAATGTTCCGGAATACCGGCCAGGTAACGGATAATATCTTTGCTGAAATCGAAAGTAGATGTACAATTTAAATTTACAAGAAACAATTTCTTTTATTTTGATCTTTTTTATGAATATTTTATTGGCACCAATTGAAAGAAAAAACAAAGAGAATCGCAAGGACTGAAACACACTGGTTTTTTTATATTAAAATACCACCGCTATCGGCGAATTTCTGTCTCCGGGACACCTCAGAAAATTTGGGAGTTTTGGGGAGTTTTGGGGAGTTTCTCGGCGATTTTCCTCCCAAATTCCACGGTGGGAAAAGGAAAAAAGTACATTCCGCGCGAGCTGTACTGTAACAATAAAATAAGGGCTGTTACTGAATATTGCCATGTATTGATCACAGATATTCAAAAATCAAAACAATATTGATTCACTATTTAGATATAGATTTAGAATACCCATTTTAGGTTTAGTAAAAATATCTACATTTTGTATTTTGAGTTAAGGGAAAAAGCCACTTTTCTTTTCTAGTTTGTACACTGGATTTTATTTTCAGAGGTTTGTATTTTTCCATCAATGATAGCACTCACTTCTTTTCAAAGGCATCAAGAAGAAAAACAAAATATATGAGATTAACACATACTATGAAATGAGCAAGTGCATATTTTTTCAAGGGGTGTAACAATACACCTACCCAAAGATACAAAATGTATCATCATAGGCAATGACGATACGATGTTTCGATACAATACAATGCTCATATTTAAGACCAGAAAGGATTTTTTTTTTCAAAAGTCCAAGTACTTTATAATAAATTTTATTAATCAGAATTTGAACTTAATACAACTGACATAATCTTATTTTAAGCTTGTACACATGTACATTAATTTCATCTTCTCTTTTTTTTTCATCCATCTGATTGTGATTCAGACTGGACCTTCTTTTGTTAGGACAATTGCTCTAAATGGTAAAAAATTTCAGGACATAATAAATGTCCTAAATCACAAAATAACTTCAGCATTTTAACTCGAAATAAGTTTTTTAGGTAGGCTAGTATAAAATTTATAGGGTTATCATTGAATATCGAAGAATCGATGTGTCATCGATACTCATCATCCGATATAATATCGATACGCACTTTCAAATATCAATACAATCTAAAAATTATTTATTTCTGTTCGTAAATTTACCTCTCTATGTTCATTTTCATTGAACTACTTGTGTGAAACATGTTATTTAGATTAATATATGCAAGATCAAGATCACTAAAGATGTTTGCCATGGTCAATAAAGATGATAAAATATAGAGATTTTGTCCACAGCATAACTCCTACACGTATGGAGGGATTCTAATGAACCTTCTAAATGTTCGCCACTATGAGGAGCTGTGTCCCGTGCATGAACCAGGCCTCTGTGTCAAAGGTCAAGGTCACACTTAGAGGTCATAGAAAAATGCTTGTCCGGAGCAAAACTTCTACATGCAGAGGGATTTCAATATAACTTGGCACAAATGCTCACTATTGTGAGGCCGAGTGTCTCCTATATGCATATCTATAATGCCCACTAAGGCTCCCACGTTTACAATTTTCTGAAAACGTTTACACGATTGCTAAGAACCGAAACGATACCGTTTAAACGGTGGTACTTCTATGTACTATACTACACCATGTATTCGAGTCTGCAAATGATGACATACTTTCTATTTTTAATACATATACAAATAAATAATGTCCAGGGCTCATCACGATTGTGTCGGCACACATTTTCTGCATTGTGTCCCAATTTCGCTCTTTTGAAAGATCAAAGGAAAATCAACTTTACCAAAAATGTATTATGCCACAAGCGATTATTGCACGGTGATGCTGTTCGGAGGGTTGTAAACACCCATTTTCCATTTTTACTTTGGAATAAACCAATTGGAATTTATAAAAGCCGTGATTACAGGCAATGATTAAGATATTCCGTAAGACAATATGGTCATTTCGATTAAACGGTAAAAGATATCGTAAACGTTTAGGAATGAAAACCGAAACGTATCCGTTTAAACGTTTAACCATGGGAGCCTTAATGCCCACATCTCTATCAAAAGCTTCTGTATATTGCGACAATGTTGGCCTTGTTTCCAGTTTTCTCTTGGCTGACTTGAACTAAAAACTCCATTTTCAAATGTCAGTTAAAATAAAGTATGAAAATTAACAAAGGGCAATAACTCAAAAAATTAGAAGTGCAGAGTAACGACTCTTGTGCACTGCACTTCTCGTAACTTAAAGAAGCAGGCATACCAAGTTTGGAGTCAATCCCACCTATAGTGACCGAGTTATGCTGTAGACAAGTTCACAAGCCTAAGGGGATGCTGCCGCTGCTGAAACCACTGACAAAAGTAACCCCCTTTAGTATATATGTTGACTTTTTCAAGGCGACACACCATAAATGAACTATGATTATGTAGACAAAACCGAACCAAAAGGACATAGGCATATCAAGCTTAGCTAAAGAGACTTCAGCGAACAGGTTTTATAGTACTGCTAGATCTGTTACTGTCTCAAAGTCAAAATAAAAGCGACATATAAAGTTATTAGGGCTGTGCATTGCATTTTTTCTGTCATGATACATATCACGATACTTACATTTCCAAACGATGCAATTCACGATATGTATTGCATACTTTGATAAAATGCGATGCATATTGCGATTCTTATGTTTCGATGCAATATGTATCACAATACTGATTTTCAGACTTTATCTATATAAAAAACTTGGTCATTTGTTTACAGCATAATTACGAATGTAATATAAAACTATTACAATAACAAAACAATAAACTCTTCAACTTCTTATTATAACTTATTTTCAAGTTTTGATCTTTCAACAATTTACATTACTTATTACTTAAGAATTTTTACTTAAGGAATTTTACTTTTTACTTAAGGATTAAAGGTATTTTTCATTATACCATAACTATTGGTGTATTGTTATACTTTCCCGCTATATCGATGCATCGATGGGTGAAATATGTATTGCATCCTGATATATTGGAATTTATTAATTCATTATGATGCATACATCGAGAACAGGGCAGATCGCAATGTATTGATGCATCAATGAATCGTTACACCTCTAAAAGTTATGGAAGCCAGAATTATATCAAGCTTTGCCACTGATTTGTATCACTCCGCAGTGAAGTGTTATGCCTCTATATTTTTCAAGTCAAATCCTCAACGGTAAAGTCAAATATGGGTCCCTTTAAATATGTTTATCAGTATCAACATAAATTTTATCTTACCTGTTTTTTAGCAGTGCTGATCCATGTATCAAGCAGCAAATGTAAACGGGATTTGTGATATTTAGCAGTAGTTTTGACACTTATAAAAATATCTTCCAGAGATGTGACAGCAAGCTTTGCAACCTGGAATTTATTCACATAACCCTGTACAGGTGTGAGCCCTTTTGCACTTCGTTGCAATCGAACAATCACGTCATCCTTTAATTTGTAAGAGTTTGTAACATCTAAAACTTTTTCAACACTTTGCGACATTTGTCTGAAATGTTTTTCTTGCTCATTATTTTGTTCTTCATAATTATTTATATTATTAAGAAGCATACAAAAAGTACCCGTAAGAATCAGACATAATGAAATAACTTTTGCCAATCTTTTACATGATACACGCATTGTGCACCAAGTTTTAATCTGTCCAACAACATTCTCAATTTGCCACTTTCTCACGCTAGCTCATGGTAAAAATAAACACCGTCACGTCAGTCGGTCTAACTACCAAAAAACACTAAGATACTCAAGACCCGCAAATACACCTCGAGACGCCAAATTAATAATGCGAATTTAATTGGCTTACACGCTTTAATATACCATAAAAATGGAAAAGGAACACGAATAACAAGGTTTTCTACTTTACAGACTCTTTACTACAATACAATACAATACAATACAATACAATACAATACAATACAATACAATACAATACAATACAATACAATACAATACAATACAATACAATACAATACAATACAATACAATACAATACAATCATGGAACCTTCAATGTGACACGTTAGTGCAATTCCATGAAAAGCGGCGTAAACACAAAGATAAAGTGCTATTGGTAGATATACGTACTATTGGCATACCAATGGTACCAAATTTGCCATTGGATGATTGAATTGCAGATCAACAACTAGTGCTATGGTAGTGGTGGTAAGTCTTACTTATGACGTCATTCAAAAGGGCGATCCTGATTTGATTTTCATTATGCTGAAACAAAATTACACATATGCAACAATTGGTGGGAGCATGGCATAGTGGTAAGCACGTAGAAGTAGTATTCTAGGGATGACTATCAATATGGGTTCAAACCCCGTAAAGGACATGTCATTGTTTTCTTGAGCAAGAAACTTTACACTAATTGCTCAGTACGGAACGGATTTGAGTGTGTGTGTTTATTAACTCTTTGCTCCCTTCACAACCAAACTAAAATAACTTGAGTAAAAACCAAACAGTAGAAAAGGGCAGATATTCAAATAAACAAATTTAATTTGTTATAAAATTTATTGGTAACAATACCAATTACAATAAAAACTGGACAAGATTAAGGCTCAAATTTATAATCAATATTTGTCTAGGTACCATTAGTACCATCAGTTCACATTTGGTACTGATATTTATTATATTGCCAATTACTCAAATAGTATGATAAAATTCGTTCAGATCGAGTAAATTTTCAACAAGTATAGTACCAATTGTAATTAATGTGACAGTTGGTGTTTTATTATTAGTACCATTGGTAATACTCAGAACGCACAAAGCATGATAAAATCCATTCAGAGTAAACTGTCAACCAATGGTACCAATGGTATTTTAGTAATATTTACCGGTACCACTGGGAATATTTGAACTCTCATTAAGTGTTTTCTTCTTCTGGCCCTTCAAGATCTTTGAGTCCAACATGTTCAGTGTTGAAAATTGGATACTACTTAAAACGGTGCTTGGAGTTGGGGAGGGCATGTGAGAGATGTTGTATCTTTACAATCAGACTTACATGTAAAAATCCCGATTTGATATTCACATCTACATTGTATTCGTTTTGCTATTTCGGTTAATATTTGATGAAAATCACATTCCCGAGAGCAAAATTCATTTAAAACAAGAAAGATTACAGTAACTTTATAAACCTTATGGACTCAAATGCAGAAGACATATAAATTAAATGTTAAATATTAACGGGTATATTTTCCTCTTTATGATTTACATAAAATACAGATTAATTTTAGGCAGAATTCCGCAAAATGAAAATAGATTAGATCAACAATTTATATACATTGTATATACTTTCTGAATGTCAGACATTTCACTCCCAAGACATTTCACTATTGACACGTTTCACTCCCAAGACGTTTCATACCTACACGTTTCACTCCCAATTTGTCAATTGTATGGACGTTTCACACCCATTTTTTTTAGATATTTATTAGGAAAGTAACAAATTTATTTCCATTTTTAATTATTATTAATATAAGATATTTATATTGATGTATGTTTTTCTGTTGTAGATAATTAAAGTTCTGTAACATACATTTTTTGTTGCATTGAAAAATGGTTTAATAGGTGATGATAAAAGACAAGGTTTGTTATTCAAAATAAAACACACAATTGTTAAAAAGGAATTCATAGTTATATAAACTATAATATAAACTATACTATGCTCATCCTTGAGAATAATATTTTCATTAGTACTTTCATAAAAAATAAGCCACGTGAAAATAATGTCATTAACTTGATATCAATTATTTTTATCAAAAAAAAAATTGTTGAAATAATAAAAAATATCAATTATATATTTTTATAAAATCAAAATATTTCTTATTTCATGTAAGTCTTAAACAATGATATGCAAAAGTTGTGTATAAAATCAATTATTATTTTTAATTATTTCTTTATCAATTTATTAAACAATGACAATGACAATGACAATTGTCATTGTCAATTTATTAAACAGTAGCCATTAAACAAACCTAGGTAATTGTGGTATTAACAGTAATCTCATCATCTAATTAGTTGTATAAACACTGAGACCAACAACTAACAGTTTGACATCACCATTAAATCAGTTGTATAAACACTGCACTTTAGCATCAACAGTTTACTAATCAGTTGTTTATTGGACCATTAAAATAGTTTTTAGATAACATCCAATTAAAACAAAAGTTTTGTTTATATAAAAAAATAAATAATATTTAATCCGATATATAAATAAATTATTTTTATTTTAGACAATTTGCAGAATGTTTACATACTTAATGCAAAGAAAATCACCTATGAATTCTTATCATTAACAGCTGTGAAGATCTATTAGATAATACAATTATATCCAGTCCAACATATATCCCCCCCCCCAAAAAAAAAAATAATAATGAATAAATAAAATTAAAAAAATAAACAACGTATGTAAATTTTAATATGTTTTCTTGCAACTTCTCTGAAATTTAATATCATTATTCTTATGTTAGTTTTATTATGATTTAAGATGTCTCACATGACAATTTTTCTTTTACATTGCATTGTAGTGACAAAATAATGATTTTACATCACAAATATTGAAAAAGTCCCAATGCTTTTATTTTAAGGCATTTCTAATTGCAATGGCCATTAAGTTAAATAACTTATCTACATAGGTACTGCTTGACAAAGGTTTAAACCTTTTACATATACATACATGATACAGGGTCGAAAATTTCAGAAATTTGTCTATAAAATATAATATATTTACTGTTTAAAAAGTATTTATGATAACAAAAATAATGCATTCGTACCTGTTCCACATGTACGATAATAAATATAGAAACATGGATAACAATTACGATATACAAACTTAAGTACTGAGTAAATAGTCATTAACAAAAAGTGAAATTCCCTTCCGTAATTCATTTTTATTTATTTTTAGCATAAAATAGAAAAATTTTGGTATAAAAAGGGTGTGAAACGTCTTCAAGACGTTTCACTCCCATTTGGGAGTGAAACGTCTTTGTGTGAACCGTCTTGATATGAAACGTCTCAATAGTGAAACGTCTGTCTACCATACTTTCTGGTGTTTCAAGACATTTTGGTGCTTTCTGGTCGTTTTACAGTATAATAAGGTCAGGGAGTCAGGTCAGACACTCACATTGATATTTCCATAGACTTACATTATAAGAAATGGTCCCTTATCCTACCTTAAAATTCAGTTTTCATGCTAAAGAGGTATTTTTTCTAGCAGAATGAAATGCCTGACACATAAAAATGTTCCTGTTATATAGGGGTAGCCGACCAAATTTTTTGCAAAATGACTTCCAAGAGGATTACCCCCCATTTCATTGAAATTTTCTGCTGATCACAGGACTGACACACACTTTTTATAAATGCAAATATCCAAGTCAAAATTATCACAGAGACTCATGAAATATTTCATTTTCTTCAGAAAACATTGTAGTGTTACTTTTTAAATTAGTTTTTATACTTAAAAATACCCCACTTTCATCCAATCGCCTCATGTATAAACTGAATCATACGGTTTTCCCTGCACTTTTTTTCAGCCAATCGCTGGCCGTGTTACAATGCGTTACCCTGACCGTCAGGGTTCACACAAAAAGGACAAATGCTAGCTTTGTTATTTTTAGTGTTCATAAAAATTATTTAAAATATGTTTTAGAAATTTGAAAATATATTTTTAAATATAAAAAGAAGTAGGATTTTAATATCTAACTGATTTTAAAGACAAAACGTGTACTATTCGAAAATTCGCATACACGGAGAAGCTGACCCGGAAATATGGCCGACTTGGAAGCAATTCGCGAAGCCAGAAGGCAAAGAATTCTCCAAGGTTCCCAAAATCGGATAAATAGAGTTTTGGGAAAACCAGAACTTGAGCAAAATGGTTTATTTTATTTATTTATATCACTATGCTTAATAATTGAAAATCGAATTTAACGCAACTTTGCAGAAATTTATTTGTCATTATATTTCGCGATAGCTCAATATAGAATTTGTGTCTAGATAAAATGAAATCCCCTATTACGAATGCTTTGTATAAGCTGTACATTGATTAAAGACACTGTTACATGAGATGTCTGTTGTATTAACCATTTATTGCAACAATTCTCGTAAAACATGTTATTTATCATCAGAATAACTGTAAATTTATATGTTAATTATACTAATAATTTTCCATATGTTTAAAATGTAGGTTTTTTATTGATACTGATAGCACATATATTTAAATGATACTTCCAACAGCAAAGCTGTTTCTTGAAATCTTTAGAAGCAAATGTTTGAGTCATTGAGTGCCTATCCAATGGGCTCACGCTATATACCATACTTAATACTTAGCGAGCGATTATGAAGGCTCTTTTACATTTATCAACAGCTCTGGCTCAAGTTTAATAGACTATCTATTGTTAAATGATCAAGATTTCCATAGTATTGATAATTTTTGTGTTGCACCATTAACTGAATGGTCTGATCATTGTGCTTTGTCATTTAATATTCTGTGTTGTTATAATAAGCAAACTATAAAACCTTCATATGAGAAAACTAGTATTAATTGGTCTGAACAAAATAAAAATGAATTTAGAAGACATTTAATTGCAGAATTGCCTGTGTTAAACCGTATTGTTGATGCATGTTCTATTAATTGTGACGGTGAAACTACATGTATAGACTCTTGTGTTCAAAGGTTTACAGATGTTATTAATGATATAGCATTGCCACTTTT